GTATGTATGCTTACACGTATGTATGCTAACCTGTATGTATGCTTACACGTATGTATACTAACCCATGAATGCTAACTCATGCATGCTAAACTGTATGTATTCTAGTCTAAAACCTAAGAGCTGATCTGGTTGGGTCGAGGCCTCTGAACTTGGGTCTAATTGAGATGTTTCTTCAGAATCAAAGCTGAACGTCAACATTGAGTTATTGTGTCTAAAGAAGAACTGGGGAAGCTACCTTGACTATGTGCCTCAAAGGTCAGTTTGAAGCCAGTGGCCTCGTTGCTGGCATCAGACACAAAGTGAGCATAGAGGTGGTTGTCTGTGGTTTGGAGGATGGGTGGAGGGTTTGCACCACAGATACGTTCATGCAGGAGTGGAGCCGAACCATCTGGGCCGTTTCTGAGCTGTGGAAACAAGGAGAAACAGATGTATAGCCGGGTTGGTCAGCCGCCTGCAGGACTGGAACAAGATGGCATCTCCTCCTCCCAAAACTACACCAGAGTCTCCACCCAGAGAAATAGCGCCAAGTATAAATCCTTTGATTTCACCTTAACCCCAGAAAACCTGCAGATTAGAGCTTTGAAAGCCTCTTTCTTTGGCAGAATGAGGTCATTCTGGAGCCGTTTAGTCCAGGATTACATCAGCCTGAATGCATCTCCATCCCCAGCACTAGCCTGGGTCCAGAACCCTCCCTCTTACCTCCAGGTAGTCTCCAGAGCTACATGCGGTGCCGTAGCCGTTAATCTGGAAGGGGCTTTGGAAAACCACAGAGACCCGGAAGCCTGGTGTGACCATGACATGCCAGCTACAGTTCAGACCAGGGGAGTAGTTCTGGGGGTAGTGAGGACTGCTCAGAACCCCCCGGTCCACATGCAGCAAGCCGCCACAACCTGAACAGAACACTGGCATTAGGAATGGCTCAGATAGTGAATGCAACATGCTCTGATGGAGATAATCCAGAGAAAGAACCAGACTAAAAACCCAGATAATATCTGAACAAATGCTTAGAAAGACCAATGTTAAACCACAGCAGCAGCTTAGCATTCACTGAGACAGAGAGAAACAAGAACCTTTGGAGAAGGAGGCGTTGAAGCCTCGGCCGCCGATGCTGCTGTCTGAAGAGAAGTGGATGAACATGGAGTCCCCTGAGGAGTGAATGGAGCCTGGAGGATCCCTGCCACACACACTGGCTAGCACTGGGGACAGACTGGTGGACCCTGCAGACATGCATTAACCAGAGCCATTAGCGCCACCGATGGATGGCCCCATCCAGTACAGCAGAACCAGAGAGGTCATAGTTCAGCCTTTCCTGGGTTCTAGTCAAGAACATACCTGCCAAGGACACGAGTCTGTACTCATGCTCTTGTGAATTGAGAAACGATTGATGTAAATCAAACCAATCTATTTCCTGTCAGTCCTGCTGCTTTGCTCACCGTCTCTGATGATGAGGCTGTCATAGAGGCAGGGTGGGAATCCCTCCACATCCAGAGACAAGATGTTCAGCTCTACGATGGAGTCAGCGGCGCGAATCAGCCACGTACACTCCTGGCTAGGAGGATAGATTTCAGGCCATTCCGGGGAAAAGAGGAAAGCAGGAGCAGAACCGGCCATGAGAAGTCCACCACAGGCACCTGAGGGACACGGACATCAAAGACTTCTTCATAAGACCAACCTGATGAAGAGGAAGCCACCAAACAGGAGTGTGAACCAGATGGGTTCTGGTTCTCTATGGACTGATCTGAAAGGGTTCTGGGTCTCTGTGGACTGATCTGGATGGATTCTGGGTCTCTATGGACTGATCTGGATGGATTCTGGGTCTCTATGGACTGATCTAGATGGGTTCTGG